TGATTTGATATTTAATTCCAACGAATTATCAATTTCATTCTCTTTCATTGAAGATTCGCTGGTTCACTTTTTATTTGGATTGTTAATGAATTTGTTTCTACTGACATGTTTAATATTATAAATTAATAAATAATGAATATTATGTAGATAAATAATTAGTTTAGTTTATTTTATAGTTTGAATCATTAAATAATCTAATTATTACTTATTTACGTTAAATAATTAAATCAGATGACTGTCTTCTGTCAAAACTGTCAAAATGGCGTACAAACATGGCGCTAGAAGGCACCAACTTCAGATTAATTTATTGATATGAATCCTATATGAAATTCCCCAGCGCCAAATTTAAAAGTTTTGACAGCTCATATTAAATAAAATATAATATTAATAATAAATTGTATTAATAATATACAGTTGTATTATTGAAATATTGTTTATCTATAACAAATATTTTAACATAATTATGAATATATATCTCAAGTTTTTGTAAATAGACTCCTAAATATCAACAATGTCTGTAGAAATCCTTGTCAATTAAAAATTTGATCAAAAATGCCTATTTGTTGCATTTAGTTTACCAGTTTTCTTGTCTTCCACTCTACCTATTCATATGACTATCTGTCTACCTCTCTACCTGTCTACCTCTCTACCTGTCTACCAGTTTACCTGTTAACCTGTTTGTCAGTCAACCAATTTACTTGCCTACTGATTTGCCTGTCTACCAGTTTACCTGTCGACCAATGTACCTGTCAATCTGTTTATCTGTATATCAATTTATCTGTTTACCTATCATTCAGTTTTACACGTCTACCAATTTACCTGTTTACATATTCGTCTAATTACCGTTTACGTATCCTCCAATTTACCTGTCCATCAGTATACCTATCTACCAATTTACGTGTTAAGAAAAAAAAAGTTGAAAGATATTTGTCAAAATTAGGTTTCTTCATACATATTTATATGAATATGTAGTAAATGAATCTGAAGAAGTTTTACTTCAAAAAATGTATAGAATCTTTTTATGGCACGTGGGGTATCGTTTGAACGGTCTTTTTGAATAGAACAGGAATAATGAAATAAAATTTTGAATTTTGTAATTTTTTGTACAAAATTGAATAAAATGCACCGTACGCCACAGCCACTCCATATAGTTATAAATCCCTCGCAAATTAATATATTGATTTTTTAAGATTATTTATATTCATCTTAATGCAAAATGCGACTAATACCTTGTTATAAATATAAATAATCATATTAACTTTATTATATTTTAAAATATATATTTTATTTTTAAATTTGAAAATTAAATTATTATTATGAAGACATAACAGATGGCACTGTTATTCCAAAGACAAGTTCAGTTCCTAGACAATATTAGAATACCCCGTATTCATATTCGCTCCGAGCGTGACTGCAGCGCCCATGCAGCGCCGTAATAAATATGAACTAATTGGGGCTATCAGTGTGTGGTTTTCATGGGTTTTACATGTTTGTTAAAGAAAAAAGATATTAAATAATTGTTATAAATAATAATAAACAAGATACAGTAATAATGTGAACGCTGAATGTTTATTGAAATTATTAAATTTACTTCAACGTACTTAAAACATAGTTAAGTATAATGATTATTAAATAAAGAATGCAGTAAATAATTTTAAGGTTAAGTGCCTCAAAGCTTATGTCATAATCTCGGAATAGTTCTTAATAAAAACAATATAATAATGATAAATAGTATTTTATCAATAGAATAAGTAAATAATAAATTAATTTACTCATTTTTTTGGTCAAACTAAAGACTTAGACACTATTATAAAGACATAATTTAGACATTATTATAAAGACAAGACCAAGTTGACAAGTAGGTAGGACTCAATACCTCGACCGATTCACTGCAAATGCGATCATAGGGCTTGGGAACCCACGGTGATCCATCAACACTACAAATATATATTTTGCATTATTTCAGCATTGTATTAGTTAAACTGTTTGCAAAATAAATATTTTAGCGCTATGTAATAACTTTTATTTTTCTTTTAATCATAAAATTACAATTATTATATAGTAAAATGTAATTAATATATAGATAATAGTTATACATAATCAATATACAATATATAAATATATATTTTTCATTATTTCAGCCTTGTATTAATTACATTGTTTGTAAAACAATTTTTTCTAGTAAGCCTTAAATTTGATAATATAACAATTAATTGACTTATAATTTTTCTTTTTGCTAAACATAACAATTTTACAACTATTCGTTGTACTCCGAATTGAATTTTTATAACAATAAGGTTATGATACTTACTTTATTCTTCTAACCGCACAGATTCACTTTTCCCGTTGATTTTCTTTCCACTTAACTATAGAAAATGTATAGAATTTGCAGTCACTTTTTCTGCTAGTATTTCTACAACCCACTATACAACAGCTTTGGTGGCTCATTTTTAATTATCTTATTTAAATTTGAAATAAATAAATATTTTATGTGTTTTTGTTTAAAATTTTGTTTATAATAGCCCCTTTTAGTGCTCCAAGTTAGCCACTACGAACGCTTCGGTCGATTTGACTTCCCCTTCCATGCCTTCGCACATAGCCAATAGACGCTTCTCTCGCCCGATTTTTACGTTCAGAAGGAATACTTAAAGGGTCCTCCGCTCGACGTGGTGGCGCTGCTTTTGGCACTCAAATTAATGGCGCAAAATTTGAAATGAAAATTAATGAATTTTAATACACGGGTATTTGAAACTAAATTCGGTATTACAATCCTATTATGTTTTGTAATGATACAATAATAACAAAAATATACTAGATAATATTATATTATAATAAAATATACAATCAAATCGAAATATAAATCAACAAATACACTGCAATACACCGGTTTATATATAATAGATATCACATCTAATCTACTGGAATAACTTCTACACTTTTTTCTACTTATTAATATAAATATTTAGTGAAATTTAGTGAATAATGCATTATAGTGTTAGTTCACTACATCGTCTGTCATTCTTAACTCTCATTAACTAGTAATCATCCCGTGCAAAATTTGATTTTTTCCCAAGTATATTCAGATCCGCGTGAAGTGGTAATCCAATATTAAACAGCTGGAACAGCTTTCTATTTGTGTATTATGTCTTTCTTGTAGAAGCGTATATTTGATTTCTTACACAATTTCCTAGAACTGATCTCTTTCCTTAAAGTGTATTATGATTAGACTAATATGTCAATGCACTACGTATTAATGTAGTAATTATGTCCTCCATATGAGTTTGAAGCTGTTCTATTCATATTGTCAAAGGGCTATGCATTTGAGAGCAATTCCTGATGAAATCTTTATTAACAAATATACAAACACAAACGAAGAAGAATCGCCATTTTGTAAACTTATACAAAAATAACACTGACGTTTCTTAGTAACCAATATAAAACATTTGAAAATACTTTTTCATCGGCTCACTAGCGCCAAATCTGCGACTACAAATGGACCCCTAAGTATTCCTTCTGAACGAGGATTTTGTTCTAAGTGAAAAGGCCCTGGTTCAGTTCATACAAGTGACAGTTCGTTCAATGGCGTCGTTCTGACAAGTGACGTTTGTAAATTAATATTATGCAAAATAATTAAAAATAAACAATGGATACTACAATAACAAATATTCCAGATAATATATTAACACAATCATATCCTGGTGAAATAGTTGTCACAATGGATTCTAATTCATCCCCAATTTGTCGTGCTTGTTTAGCTGACAAAAACCTACAAAGTTTATTCATCGAACAAAAACAATTATCAGAAAATGAGAATTTAATCCTAAAAATGTTCATTTCCTGTACAGCCCTCGAAGTGTCCCCAGACGACGAGTACCCCAAATACATTTGTGATTTGTGTCTTCGAGACTTGTACAAGGCCTACGAATTTTGGACGAAATGTCGAAACTCTTTACAGGAATTGGATAAACTCAAAGGTAAAATACAAAGTGTTTATATTAAAGAAGAATTTAAATCTTTAGGTGATCCAAAAGATGCTGATACAAATATTTGTGATGATGATAAAGTTGTGATGGATGTGCAAAACAAAAATGTACATGCAAAGTTAAGTAGTAAGGTTTTCCGAAAGACTAGAGTTAAGAAAGTTAAAGAAGACCAGGATGCTGCTGGTGTAGTAAAACAAGAATTAGACGATGTTATGGAATTGGATGTACAATCTAATCATTCTAATCACAGTTATCATGACGATATTGACAATATCAGTAACTGTGAATACAACATCCATAATGACATCAAAAAAGAGCCCCAAGACTCCAACAATTCACACAAATGTACCACTTGCAACAAAAGTTATAAATCATTATACTACCTAAACATGCACAAAAAGAAACATTCCGGTGAACAAGTAAAACCAACCTCAAGTATAATCCATTTATGTCAACTATGCGGTGTAGTCTTAGCCTCCAGTAGAAATCTACGAGAACATCTAGAATCCCACGGTGATTTAAGAAAATACACTTGCAAAACTTGTGGAAAGTCCTACAAAACCAAAAGAACTTTATACGCACACATGGAAATCCATTCTAAAGAAAAAAGACACACTTGTGAACATTGCGGTGAGAAATTTAAAGTCAATCATTCCTTAAAGTGTCACATAAAACGTCGACACTCTAATGAAAAACCTTATGTATGCCATTTTTGTTCGAAGGCTTTCAAGTTTTCTTACAAATTAACTGAGCATGTCCGGCAGCATACGGGTGAAAAGCCTTATCCTTGCAAGGAGTGCACAATGGCATTCACAAATGCCGCTAGATTGAATGAACATATGTTGAAGCATACAGGGATTAGGAATTATTCTTGTCAGATTTGTGATAAACGGTTTTTGAAGCCCCAACATTTGAGGGTGCATATGGTAACGCACACGGGGGAGTGTAGACATAAGTGTAAAATTTGCGAGAAGGCTTTTAAGTATCAACAGATGCTGAAGAATCATATGAAAGTGCATAGTGAAGAACCTACCATGTAAATAGAGAGAAATGTAAGGGGGATTCATGTAAAAAATCGATTTTCTCCAAAAGATCCAATTAGCTAATTTTATATTTTAAGTCATTCAATTTTAATAGAGTTCAAGGTCTGAATCAGTGGTCAGGGAATTGGGGTTAACTACTCCAAATGAGGTAAAAAAGTATATATTTTGAATTGATACTGTATTTGCTACATAGGTCTCCTTATGGGGATAATCCCTCTAGGCCATGGGGGTAATATCAACTTAGACAAAAATCTTTTGGGGTAATGATTCCCCAAAAATTTTGGGGTTCCCTGACTGCTGGTCTAAATGAACATCTTAAAATATTATAGGCCTACAAAAAGTGGTTTGTTTATAAAAATTCATCAAAGTTTGGTTTAAATAAACATTTTAAAATTTTATAGGCCTATGAAAAGTTATTTAATTCAAGTTTTAAAAGTTGCTAAATCTTTATATTCATTGGTTAAGTTAATTATTTACACATATCAGAAAGTTTGTGCAACTTGGCTTAAGGCCAAATGCCACTTATGTCTAGTTTATTGTTATAATTGTAAATACTTCTATTTTTTTTAAATAGCGATAGAAATACATTTACATATCTCAGTCCTATATATTAAAAAATACAGATTTCTTTCTCTTGGCTCTGAAGAAACCACATTTAGGCATTTCTAAAGAGGGGAGGATTTAGAATGCTAATTTTCTCTCTATCAAAGAATACATCTCCACTTCTATATTATTATTATTATTTGTTATATCAAGTTTTAAAATTTCAAACTCTTATCTTGACAAATTTTAAAAGTTGCTAAATATCTATTTTGTATCTTAAGGCAAAATGCCAATTATGTCTAGTTTATTGTAATAGTTGTTAATACTTCTATTTTTTTTAAATAGCGAAAGAAATACATTTACATATTTCAGTCCTTGGTGTGTTGGGCTCACAGATTTCTCTTTATTGTTCCTTAAGAAACCACCTTTAGGCATTTTTTAAGGGGAAGGATCTAGAATGCTAATTCTCCCTTTTTTGAAAAATACACTTAGACAAATTTTAAAAGTTGCTAATTATCTATTTGCATCTGTTCAGTTGATTACTTACACATATCGGAAAGTTTATTGCAATGCCACTTACGTCTAATTTATTGTTATAATTGTTAATAATCCTATTTTTCTGCCTAGTGAAAGGAATATATTTATGTATCACAGGCCTTGTTGGGCTTATAAATTTCTATCTTTGCCTTTGCAGAAACTATCATTAGGTTTCTTAATGGGAGGAGGATCTAGAATGCTAATTGTCCCTCTTTTGAATAATACACTTCAACTTGTATATTATTATTATTATTAGACAAATTTTAAAAGTTGCTAAATATCTATTTAAATCTATTCAGTTGATTATTTACACATATAAAGTTTTTGCAACTTGACTTAAGGCAAAATGCGAGGCAAGTCACTTATATCTAGTTTTATTGTTATAATTGTTAATACTTCTTTTTTTTTAAATAGCAAAAGAAATACATTTACGTACTGCAGTCCTAAATATCAAGAAATATTGATCTTTCTCTTGCCCTTTAAGAAACCACATTTAAGCATTACTTCAAGGGGGAGAATCTAGAATGTTAATTTTCTCTCTTTATAATATTACACTTCTACTTGTATATTATTTTTATTTGTTATATCTTTTTTGAAAAGTTTTGATATAAAACACATTAAAATAAAAAAAAGATGCAAAATATATATTTATTAAATTTTACTTTAATAAATATAAATCTGGTGACTTCTCTAATTTTATTTACATCTTATTGTTTTTATCATTATTATTATGTTCATCTAAATAGTAATAATCTAATATTATTACTTTATCCAAATTTTCTGCCCTTTTAACTTCCCGAAGTAGAAACTTGCGGGGAGGATATAGAATGCTAGTGTTTCCTCTTTTAAATAATATACTTTCTACTTGTATATTATTATTATTTATTGCTATATTATTTATATGTATTGAAGAATTTTGATATAAAACACATTAAAATAAAAAAAGATACAAAATATATATTTAATAAATTTTATTTTATCTATAATATTATTTAAATCTTATTGTTTTAATCATTATTATTATTATCCTTATAATTATTATCTTTATCTAAATAATTATTTGTTGATATACTTTGCGAAAAAAATATTACTTTATACAAATTTCCTGCTGTTTTAACTTCTCGAGGCTGAAATTTGAGGGGGGAGAATATAGAATGCTAATTTTTCCTCTTTTAAATAATTCACTTTAAATTTAATTGCTTTTATAATCATTATTATTATTAAAATTTTTATCTTTATCTAAATAATAATTTGTTGGTATACTTTGTGAAAAAATAATAACTTATAAAATTTTTCTGCTGTTTCCGGAAGGGAAAATTTACATCTTTATACTTGTTTTAAAGTGGAAAAAAATAAAAATAAAACATAATAATAATAAATAAAGAAATAAAATATGTAACACAAGTTATATCTGTGTTATATATTTGTTTTTCGAACAGAAAATTCAAATAAAAATAAGAATGTTATTAAAAAGTGAATAATTTTAAATTTAAGACTTCCATAAAGATTTTTATACAAATATTTATTATTTTATTTATACACATAATAATTGTGTTGAAACAATTTAATATAATTCAAATAATTTTTCTATAATTAGATTATATTTTTATCATTGTTATATTTTGTCATTTGTTGTCTTATTTATAGATATTTTAAGATACATAATTGTGCATCATGTTTTAATTCAAATTTTGAATTTGGCGCTAAGTACTTTCAGACATATTTGACAGTAAATATATTTTAAAATACTTTATTTTATTGTGAATTTAAAATAAAATTTAAAATTTAAATTTACAACACAATATTTATATCCCAAAATTAAACCTAAGCCACAACCAAAAATTAAAAAATACAATTTTAGAAGAACTTTTGAAATAATATTATACGACAAAATATAAATATTAAGAGACTTTGTAGACTCCGCACATTCAAGAATCAATATTTACTTTTATATTTAGGTAGTTGTTCTTAGTCTTTCTGAGTGTTCAATCAAGAGAATTAAAATATTAAGACTCCGTCAAGAGTATTTATTACCAATATTACACTTTGAAAACCTTTTATATTCTTAAAAATATAGATCAAAAATATATCCTAAAGAAAATAAGCCCATCTGCGGTTTGAAATGGAAATCAGAAAAACCCTCACACTATTCTTCTACTTCATCCATGAATGGAGTTGGAGTTTAACTCCCATACTACCCATTATACTTGCGCCTTTGTTCATCTGGTAAATTAGAGACTTTGTAGACTCTAATTTGTAGACTGCACATTCAAAAATCAATATTTACATTTATATTTAGGTAGTTGTTCTTAGTCTTTCTGAATGTTTAATCAAGGCATCCGAAGTAACAATAGATGAAGAAATATATCAAATTATCATTCCTTCATCTATTGTTACTTCAGAGGTCGTGAATAACCTGAAGGGTCACATGTGGGTGACCTGGACCTAAAACCATAAGTTTGTATTAATATAATTTTGTAATAATATTTAACATTTGCATGTAATTATTTATTTAAAGCAAGAGCTATGTAATTATTTATTTAATGGATAAATTATAAGGAAATGAATTGTCAAAAAATGCTTTGAAATTTGTTACAAACTTCATGTAACTTCGATGGGTTAACAAATAGGTATAAAGTGATAATTTATTGTACATTATAAATTCGGTGATTAATTTAACGTAATTACAGAAATATATAAGTTCTAAAGTAATTATTTCTGTATAAAATAATTCTTACTTCGTATCCGTGCAAGCGCAGCCGCCACCATTTTGATTTTTGTCTTTGACATGTCAACTGTCAAATATGGCGGAAAGTGCTTGAAAAATTAGCGCCAAATTCAAAATTTGAATTAAAACATAATACTAATAATAATACATAATAATAAAATAAAACATAATACTAATAATAGACCTTATATTACATGTAGTTTTAAGTTATAAGGTCTATGTATAATACATTTCGATGTTCATTTGTCTAGGATGTTCATGTTGTAAACAAGTATTTGCTAATATGATGAATAAGGAATTAAATTGTAATAAATTTGTTGGATGTAACTCAAAATGCCAAATACACAAACTTTAATATCAGTTTTAAACATTTAATAGATTTTTAGAATTCCCATTTTAACCAAAGTAAGTTTTATTCATAGATAAAAGAAGAGTTATTAATTATTTCTTTTACTATGGCAACACTCACTTAACATGGCGTCTAGTCTATCAAGCTTATGTATCTATGGCGTCTTTTGATAAATAACGAAACGTCAAAAAAGTTGTCAACAAATCAAATAAATATTTAAAAATATCTAATTATTATATTATTAAACATGGAAAATACAGAATTAGTCGATAATTTAAAAATCGTGTCTCAATATTCCACAATGTGTCGTGCTTGTCTGAATGATCAAAATCTTCAATCAATATTCTCAGAGGTTAACTCCAGTACAAATTTTAAACAAGAAATTAATATTATAAAAATGTTTAATTGCTATGCATTTCTTGACATATCACAAGATGATCAATATCCAAAACATATTTGTGATAATTGTCTCAAACAGTTGGTGGATGCTTATGATTTTTGGAATAAATGTAAAAATTCACTCGATAAGTTGAATAGACTGAAAGATGAACTGGATTCTGTGGATGCTAAAGAAGGGGTACATAGATTTTTGGAAGTTGATTTGATAGAAAATAAGCCAGAAGAATCTACATGTGACAAAATGGACTCCTCCAGGTCTCTTGGTACAGGTAATAACAGTTTTGTACAACAATATGATTCTGATAAGTACTCAGATAAATTTGATAATGATTATGGAAGCACAAGTGATTCCGAGTCAGATATACCTTTATCCAAGCGACTGGGTAAGAAAGTTACTACATCTCGTTCATGTACCAAATGTAAAATATCGTTAACCGATGAAGAATTCATCAACCATGTATGTAAAACAGTTAAATCAAAGCATCGCTTTGTTTGTGAAAAATGCGGTGAACACTTTAACACTTATAGTAAAAAATATAAGCATTTACAAAAGCATAATTATAATTTTCAATGTGATGAATGTTCTGAAGTATGTAAATCAGCTTACGAATTAAAACTCCACGTGCAAACACACACTGGAGAACGTCCATATCCTTGTTCGGCTTGTCAAAAAGCGTTTAAACGTCCACAATATCGCGACCACCACGAACTGGTGACCCACAAACTCAAAAGCAAATTCACTTGCAATTTCTGCAACAAATTTTTCACCAGATCTAGATTCTTAAAACGACATTTAAAAACACATTCTTCTGGGAAAACTAAAGAAGAGCACTTGTGTGAAATATGTGGTCATATTTTGAGATCTAGTTCCAATTTAAAATCACACCTCGAGTCACATGCTGGTATAAGGAAATACACATGCGAGGTGTGTAATAAGACTTACGCAACCTCCAAAACTCTTTACGCACATAAACAGATACACTTACCCGAAAAAAAATACAAGTGTGAGCAATGTGGTTTGAAGTACACTGCAAGCGCTAATCTCAAAGCTCACATACTCCGCCACCATTCTACAGAGAAGCCTTTAAAATGTCACATATGTTCCAAAGCCTTCAAATTCCAAGGAGTCTTAAGAATCCATGTACGCCAGCATACTGGTGAGAAGCCCTATGCCTGCAAGTTATGCAGTATGGCTTTTGTTTGTGCCACTCGATTAACAGAGCACATGCTGAAGCACACTGGTGTAAGGAAGTATGCATGCACAGTGTGCGGTAAGAAGTTTATGAAGCCCCAACATTTGAAGACACATATGGTTTCACACACAGGGGAGTGCAGACACAAATGTAAATTATGTGATAAGGCTTTTAAGTACTCACAGGTGCTTAAGAGCCACATGAGGATACACGAGGAGGACAGTGGAGTAAAATAAAAGGTTTAGTAATAAATTAATAGTTTAAAGCCGGTCACAGACAGTATAATTGCGCAACCTGCATAGATAAACAAGTATAAATAGATGGCAAACACGGTTGCTTTGATATTACATCAATTGTAATTCTTTCAGCTTGTAATAGATGTCGCCAGCCGTAGCACTTAAATTTACCATCAGGTTCAATTTTAGATAAGATTTATTAACTTCCCATAGGGCAAGTTATAGTAATCGCAAAAAAAAAAGAAAATGAGAATTTTTGCATTTCTCGACGTTTCAAAGGTTTCTGAATATTTTGGCATACCTTAGAAAAAATGGATGTATGTGTGTGTGTGTGTATGTATGTACGTGTGTGTATGTATGTGCGGATACAAATTTTCGTCGACGATTTCGGGAACACGGATCAACCGATTTGAATAATTCAAAAAACATTCGATTCGTATTGATAAGGAGACGTGCTGATTAGTTTTTGGCGAAGTCAGGTCTAGCCGTTCCGAAGATACGGGGCAAAAAGTGCCGAAAACGGTAACTCAGTTTTTAAGAGAACGGAGCGTCCGATTTTAATAATTCAAAAAACATTTTACTTGTATTGACAAGGTGAAGAACCGATCAAATTTTCATAAAGGCAGGTCTAGCGGTTTCGGAGATCTAATGAAAAAAGTAAAAAAAAATGACATTTGGCGGTCAAAAATGATCATTAGACATATGCACATCAAATTGTCAGATATTTTATAGAGATTTTAACAATAAGTATACGTTTTGTTAACATTCCTATGGGTTCCGTACCAATGTTTACGCGTTAGACGTCGACGCGGCGCTTACGCGGTTTGATATTTCGTCTTTATGCAGTTAAAGCAGTACGATTGCTTTGAAAAAAAGTTTAGATCTTTCCAAATATGTCAAAATGAAGAAAACATTTTTTTTCAAAAAAAAAAAAATAAAAAAAATCTTTTTCCAAAAAAAGTAATTTTTTGTCTAATTGTTTGTCAAAAATCTTATTTTTTCGAAGTATTTTTTTTCAAAAATGTTAATCGTTTTTAAAATAATAATAATTTTTGGTACGGGAAGTTCCAGCAATTTGCCTTAAGGCACGATGCCCTAATTGCCTTAAGACAGAATTCCACTTACAGCTAGTTTGCATATATAATAGAAAAGATACTCCTGGCAACCTATGACTTGCACATGTATTCTATAGCGAGTGTAGTATGTTCTTTTGCACTTTTGATTATTTTAATTGTACAATCATTCAAATCGGCAAGTTCATTCACATGTAGCAGCACATGTCTCGATTTTGTTTTACTTAAAAATTCAAATTGATGAAGTTATCGACGTTTATTAAAGTATTTAAATAAGCCCTATCAACTCTTTGAATTCCCTTTTGATGCTGTGATTATAAAAATTAATAAAAAAGATATATTTTTAGGTAATGTCTTGACATTTTTTAGTTGACATGTTTGATATGCATGCGCAAACACTTGAATGTACACTTGAGTCGTCTGTGGGCACTGTGAAAATACGTCTGGTGGCGCATACATTCAATTGCACATGCATATAGTAACGTCTCTGGCCGGCTTAAGCAAATATATTTATTTATTATTTTGAGAATAGAAATAAACAGTGATCAAAAACAAATCTATATTGTCTATATTTTTTCCCATACCCATAGTATCATTAATATGTAATATGTTTCTTTTTATAAGTTCCTTGAATGCAAATGTTCTTTCATAATTAAGCCTCCCATTCTGCTGACGTGATCTCTATACTCTGTTGTGTATTTAGCATGTTTTACACTTGAAGTATTACAGCACTCCGTTGACACCAGTTTTTGTGTGGATTTTGATGGCGGCATCTGTTCTTTGCTCATGGACGCGGACCTTTGAAAAAAAAAATTGATAGAATACATGAAATATATAAATGACTCAAGTATATGAGTAAGTTTTTTCTAAGATAATACATTAAATGAAAGACATTGATTCAAAAATCAATTTTCAATTTATTTGGGTCATCATCAGTGGATATCTGTAGTTGGCATAATTTACCACTACTAACTTGTCTTTTACTTTTTCACCAAACGGCACCGATTTCAAAAATTTGAAAGCTATTTGATGAAACTTCTTAAAGGTTCGCATAGATCAGTTTTGGTTTACAATCGATCGAGCCATTTCTTTTTAATTAACATAGATCGAAAGATATCTTAATATGTCCTAAGACATATTCAATGGCTATTTATCTATTTCCTACGAGATCTTACGATTTTCTATGGTGACAGTTAATAACAATAAGATGTCCTGCTATGTTCTAAGATGCCAAAGGCGATTTTAGAACACCAGGATACTCAAAAATTTGTAAAATGTCCTAAAATGTTCTAAGGTGTCTAATGAAGAATGACATTTTATAACAATAAGATATTTTATGATATTTGAAAAAGGCCCTGATATGTCCTAAGAACTATTAAGGTGTCTCCTGATGACTTAAGGTGTTTAAAGATGTCTTGCGATGTCCTAGGAAGATATTTTGCATCAATAAGATGCCCTACGTTGATTTGAGAAGCCCCAAATTGACATTTCATTACAAAAAAGTGTCCTAAGAAGTCCTAAGTTGTGACTAACGCCTTCAAAAATGTCCTAATGTGATCAAAGATGACAAGATGTTACAAGGAAGGGTCCATTGATCACGTGATCGATATTTTAAAGATTTTTGGAACACCTCCCCTCTCCCTTGGTGATACTTGGTTATATTCAAAAGTATACCCCCCACCCTCCGCTACCAAACATCACGTGTATTTTTAGTTTCGAGAAAAAATATTTGGAATATTTATGAAAATGTTTGGAATTTTTATAATAATTTAGGTAAAAAATACACGTGATATCTTACTATACCCCTCCCTCTCCCCAAGTGATATTTTGTTATAGATTTCTGGTTCTGTCCACAAGAGCCAATCCGGTAATTTGGAAACTAGCTGTAAGTGGAATTCTGTCTTAAGGCAATTAAGGCATCGTGCCTTAAGGCAAATTGCTGGAACTTCCCGTACTAAATATTATTAATTTTTTAAAAACGATTAACGTTTTTGAAAAAAATGTACTTTAAAAAAATAATATTTTTGAGAAACTATATATATGGACCAAAAATTACTTCTTTTTGAAAAAAAAATTTTTTTAAAAAAAATAATTATTTTTTAATTTTTTTTTTTTTGAAAAAAATTTTTTTTTTCTTTATTTTGACATATTGTGGAAGATCTGAACTTTTTTTCAAAGCAATCGTACTGATTTAACTGCATAGGGACAAAATATAAAGCGCGTAAGCGCCGCGTCGCTGTCTAACGCATAAGCATTGGTACGGAACCCATAGGAATGCAAACAAAATTTATACTTATTGTTAAAATCTCTATAAAATATCTGATAATTTGATGTGCATATGTCTAATGATCATTTTTGACCGCCAAATGGCTCATTTTTTTACTTTTTCCTCCATATCTCCGAAACCGCTAGACCTACCTTTATGAAAATTTGATCGATTCTTCATCTTGTCAATACAAGTGAAATGTTTTTTGAATTATTTAAATCGGACGCTCCGTTCTCTTAAAAACTGAGTTACCGTTTTCGGCACTTTTTGCCCCGTATCTTCGGAACGGCTAGACCTGCCTTCGCCAAAAACTAATCAGCACGTCTCCTTATCAATACGAATCGAATGTTTTTTGAATTATTCAAATCGGTTGATCCGTGTTCCCGAAATCGTCGACGAAAATTTGTATCCGCACATACATACACACACGTACATACATACACACACACATACACACACACATACACACACACATACACACACACACACACACACACACACACACCCACACATACATCCATTTTTTCTAAGGTATGCCAAAATGTTCAGAAACCTTTGAAACGTAAAGATATATAAAAATTTTCATTTTCGATTTTTTTGCGATTACTATAACTTGCCCTACGGGAAGTTAACAATTTGGTCACACGTGAGGTGTTAATTTACACTTAGTGTGTTATTATTGTTATTATTTTTTTATTACCTGTATGCTATAGGTCTCTGGTTCTGTCTGCAAGGGTCATCCGGTAATTTGGACACATTTTGGTCGCATGTTGGGTCCAAACCTTCTTTAGACCTTGCACCACCTGTCAATAGATCATACTTGCCCGCAGGATACTCGGAGGCTCCACAATAATCAATTTGATAAGTCGTATGCATACGATCATTCACCACCCTGAAAACAAGTCAACATCAACATTACCCCAAATTCATAAACATAAATATAAAATATATAAATATTATCAAAAATAAACCAGGATCAGTTACTTGTATAACAATTCTTCATCTGGAGTGGTCTTTAGTACTTCGTACAATTGAGGGTACTTTTCATTCAATTTCGCCAAAAAGGCGTTCGGTTGGTCGATTTTGGAGCTTTCGGTCTGAGGAGAGGCTCCTACTTTGACTGGGAACAGTTTTGCGTCTAAGAGTGGACCCATGGGGCCTAAACGGGACCATTGTTGCTCCTTGCATTCGTCCTTGCCGGCTTGTCCAGGTGCGGAGGCCTTCAGGATAGGGTCCATCACCTGGGTAGAACAATAATGAAAAAACCTTTAAAAATGAACAAATTTTATTTGTCCTAATGGGTGCACCACAAGTATTTCTTCTTATTTTAAAGAAAGATTACCGACAATGTACATTTACACCTAGTTCCTTATTTTTTTACCTTACAATTGCATGTCGCCGGCACCCTGGCCGAGATTCCCAAATCGATGGTGCCATCGTCGCCCAAATTTAGAGGAAAAGGAGTATTGTAGGGCCAAAGGTAGTCTTTGCGATAAGTTGTCACAAAATGACTGTACTCGTTCATTTTGAACAGATGACCTAAAAATTTTGAATTTTTTTTTTACCAAACCATTTTTGAATCCAACAAATACAAAAAATACAAAAACTAAAATTTCATTGCCCCTGACACGTGTCAATTTAAAATGTACAAACAAAAATAAAATATTTTCATAAAATGTCAAAATAATTCTGTTAAAATTTTCTGGAGCCCTAAAATGGATCGTTTGTCGTACCCCAATTATTATTGGAAGACCCGATACTGTTGCCCTTATAAATGCAACGTATATTACGTACAGAGACATGTTCCTTTGGGAGAGAATTATAAACCTTGTTGCAGAGTCTCCAAAAGGTGATAGATAGTAGAAACTAGGTGTAAGTGGCATTTTGTCTTAAGGCAAGTTCCACCAACTTGATAGACTTCGAACTTTCATCGCATAGACTAGTCTAATGTTTACGAAGACAAACAATTCTAAAGTTTGAATCTGATGTCTGATTTTTTAGGGCTCAAGTGGACCACGTAACGATGGCCCCCTCATTTCGGCCGAAGACTTTCCCTCCGACAGAATATCGGGATCATATTGGAAAAGTTGGAATGTGGATCAGCAGACTTCATGTCCATGCCGATTTTTGCGATGCCATCTATGTGCACAGGCACCGAAAATTTCCGATAATGAGAATGTATTGATTGAAAATGATATAAAAATTGTAAAATGAATAATAATATATAATTAAACTTCTTTTCTTAGGCCTGTAATATTAACTTCCCGAAGGAGAAGTTTATGCTTTCATCAAAAAATCCGATTCGCTAATTTTATGTTTTCTCGACGTTTCAAGCCATTCTGAATCGAATGAGACCAAATTTGGAAAAAGTATGTGTGTGTGCGTGTATGTGAACAGATAATTTTGCCGTAAATCAACGTTTTCTCGAAAACGGCTCTGCCGATTTCAAAAATTTAAAAGCCGTTCGACGAGGACTATCGTTTGTCAGTTTTGTGCGACGATCTGCCGAGCCGTTTCTTTATAAATAGCAGAAAAGTGAAAAAAAATTCGTCTGCGTTTTAGCCCGCAATTCTGAACCGATTATGAAAAATCAAAAACCGTTCGAAAGATATTGATTGGGAATCGTGCTGATTAGTTTTTGGTAAAGATCGGCCGGGCCGTTTTCTTGTAATAAAGTGTTAAAAAAATTTTTTCCGACGATTTTTATTATTATTATTTTGACGGTAGATACTATAGTCTTCTAGATCATACTAAAATATTACGGCCCTACGACAATTGGTTTAACTTTGAAAATTTGTCAAAGTTCGCAAAAATTGGTATCGCTTTTTTGGCATTTGTCAAAATTAGACCTTTCATCGACGTTTTCTCAAAAACGCCTGAACCGATTTCAAAAATATAAAAGCCTTTTTATGAAACTCGACAAAGTTTTGCGTGAATATTGGCCTGGCCAATTTCTTTATAATTAGCAGAAAAGTAAAAAAAAGTTCAACAACTTTTTGGCATAAAATATACTGCAATGTTAATAGCTTGAAAAAATGAATGCGCGCGCGCCTGTGTGTGTAAATATGTATGGATACAATTTTTCGTTTACGTTTTCGGGCGATACAATCAACCGATTTTATTGGTTTAAAAAACATCCGATTCCTATTGATAGGGAGATGTGCTGATTAGTTTTTGGCAAATATCGGTCCAGCCGTTTCGGAGTTACAGAGCAAAGAACGCCAAAAATAAAAATCGAGTTTTTGAGAGAACGTTGGATCCGATTTGAATGATCCAAAAAACATTCAATTCGTAATGATGGGAAGAAGTGGTGATTAGATTTTGGCAAAGGCAGGTACCACCGTTTCGGAGATACAGAGCAAAGAGTGCAGGAAATAGAAATCGTGTTTTTGAGATAACGGAGTATCCGATTTGAATGATTGAAAAAACATTCAGTTTGTAATGATGGATAGAAGTGGTGATTAGAATTTGTCAAAGGCAGGTCTAGCCGTTTCGGAGATAAATATGCAAAACATGGCAGTTTTTGAGAGCACTAAGCATCCGATTAGAATGATTCAAAAAACGTTCTGCTTGTTTTGACGAAACTATTGCTTTTGGGAAAAGATTTTCTTTGTTTATTTCTAAAATATAGTTTTTTCTAAAAAATTTATTCTTCGAATATTTTATTATGGTACGGAAATTCCAGCAATTTGCCTAAAACACGATGCCATTAACTACTAGTCATCTAATTAGTTTATTAACTTCCCGTAGGGCAAGTTATAGTAATCGCAAAAAAATCGAAAATGAAAATGTTTATATATTTTTACGTTTTAGAGGTTTCTGAACATTTTGGTATTGATAAGGAGACGGGCTGATTAGTTTTTGGCGAAGGCAGGTCTAGCCGTTCCGAAGATACGGGGCAAAAAGTGCCGAAAACGGTAACTCAGTTTTTAAGAGAACGGAGCGTCCGATTTGAATAATTCAAAAAACATTTTACTTGTATTGACAGATGAATAATTAATCAAATTTTCATGAAGGCAGGTCTAGCGGTTTCGGAGATCTAGTGAAAAAAGTAAAAAAAAAATGCCATTTGGCGGTCAAAAATGATCATTAGATATATGCACATCAAATTATCAGATATTTTATAGAGATTTTAACAATAACTATAAATTTTGTTTACATTCCTATGGGTTCCGTACCAGTGTTTTTCTGTTAGACGGCGACGCGGCGCTTACGCGCTTTAACATTTCGTCTCTATGCAATTAAAGCAGTACGATTGCTTTGAAAAAAAGTTCAGAATTTCCAAAATATGTCAAAATAAAGAAAACATTTTTTTTCAAAAAAAGAAAATTTTAAAAAAGTAATTTTTTGTCAAATTTATATGCGCCCCACTAGTTGATTTTGTATTTATTGGTTTTTCCATAGGCCTATACTAATTAAAACTGTGGATTAATTATAAAAATTTATTAATTCATTAAGAGCTTGGCCCTTAGGGGGGGTCAATTAATGTAAAGATTTTTGGATACTCCCTCTATTTATATTTGCCATCTATTTATATTTGTTTATCTATGGGCGCACCCCACTGCAACTTCACGAGTCAAAAATATTGCATATGGCAACACAAGATGGCGGCTCATCTGTGTGACAGATGAACAAAATAAATAAACATTTTATTAAGAACTGAGCTTTTAAATGTGACAAGGAACTTATAGTTTTATTATCAAAATGGATAATTTGGACGTCAAAGTGTTTGAAAACAAGCCCCCCATTGTGTTCGGTTCTGATATGTGTCGGGCTTGTCTCACAGACAAGAATTTACAATCGTTATTCCTTGATCAGGATTTTGCACAAACTGAAAACATTGTTTTAAAAATGTTTACATCCTGCACGTCCCTTGAAGCATCTTGGAACGACCAGTACCCCAAACATATTTGTGATAATTGTCTAAATGATTTAAGAAAGTGTTACGAGTTTTGGCAGAAATGTCGAAATTCTGTGGATGAAATTAACAGGTTGAAAGAAACTATTGATTCAATGGACATTAAGGAAGAGATTGATGCATTTACGGATCATTTAGATGTTATTTTAAACGATAATGATAGTAGTGATGAAAAGCCTTTGCAAACGTTGAAGTTAAAAGTTCCAAAACAACCTAAGGTGAAGAAAAAAGTGTTGAGGACTGCTCGAAGACAAGACACTTTGGACCGGATAAAAAAAATAATCAAGGACCAAAGCGATGATTCTGCAAACGAGGAAAACAATAAACCCAACATGCAATGTTCTAAATGCAAAACAAAATTTGAATCCGGTGAGCAATATGTTAACCACGTTTGTAAATATGCTGACAAGCACCCTTGCAAATATTGTTACGAGATTTTCGACACTAATGATGCTAAATATAAACATTTAAGACTCTACCACGGTTCTGAGTTACCACATTCTTGTGACGTGTGCTCAAAGAGGTACAAAACAGCTTTAGGTTTGGAAGTGCATAAAAGAATACACACGGGGGAACGTCCATTTGCTTGCAACATCTGTGAAGCAGCCTTCAAATCCCGAGGGGAACTAGAAACACATTCTTACAAACATACAACGGAATTCAAATATCAATGCACGCAATGTGGTAAAGGCTTTAACAGACCTTACAACTTGCGACAGCATATGAAGTTACATTTTGGGGTTTCTATTGACAAGTCTTATTTGTGCCAAGAATGTGGTAGGATTTTTAAAACCTTAAAAAACCTACAAGTACACGAAGCTATACATTCTACATTACGTCCTTTTGAATGTGCAAAGTGCCACAAACACTTCAAATCTAAATCTTACCTCCAAACGCACATGCGTGTGCATGTGGAAGAAAAAAAGTACGCCTGCAACCATTGTGACCAAAAATTTACAACCTGGCACTCGAAAAGCAGTCACATCAAAATACATCACACAACAGAAAAACCATTTGTGTGCAAAATTTGTTCAAAGTCTTTTAAATTCTCAGGAAAGCTCATTGTGCACGAAAGACAGCACAGCGGTGAGAAGCCTTATCCTTGTACAGAATGCCCCATGGCTTTCGTTTGTTCGAGCAGTTTGAAGATGCACATGTTGAAACATACGGGGGAGAGGAAGCATCCTTGTCCGGTTTGTGATAAGACTTTCCCGAGGGCTCAGCATGTTAAGCAGCATATGGTTACTCATACGGGGGAGAGAAAACATAAGTGTAAGATTTGCGGGAAGGGATTCACACAGGCACATGTTTTGAGGACTCATTTGAGGACACATGAGGAGATTGTGATTAAGGATAGTGTTAATTTGCCACCAAATGAATAGGCACAGGACTAGGAAATTGTGTTTAACTCTTGCTGCTCGGCACTGAGTCTTATCTCTGCATAGGAGGGAAGAAGCATTCTTGTCCGGTTTGTGATAAGACTTTCCCGAGGGCTCAGCATGTTAAGCAGCATAGGTAACACATACGGGGGAGAGGAAACATAAGTGTAAGATTTGCGGGAAGGGTTTCACACAGGCACATGTTTTGAGGACTCATTTGAGGACCCACGAGGAGATTGTGATTAAAGATAGTGTTAATTTGCAACCAAATGAATAGACAATAGACTGGGAAATGGTATTATCCTTGTCCGGTTTGTGATAAGACTTTCCCGAGGGCCCAGCATGTTAAGCAGCATATGGTAATGCATACGGGGGAGAGGAAACATAAGTGTAAGATTTGTGGAAAGGGATTCACACAGGCACATGTTTTGAGGACTCATTTGAGGACACATGAGGAGATTGTGATTAAGGATAGTGTTAATTTGCAATCGAATGAGTAGACAGTGGACTGAGAAATGGTATTATCCTTGTCCGGTTTGTGATAAGACTTTCCCAAGGACGCAGCATGTTAAGCAGCATATGGTAACGCATACGGGGGAGAGGAAACATAAGTGTAAGATTTGCGGGAAGGGATTTACACAGGCACATGTTTTGAGGACTCATTTGAGGACCCACGAGGAAATTGTGATTAAGGATAGTGTTAATTTGCAACCGAATGAATAGACAGTGAACTGGGAAATGGTATTTAACCCTTGCCACTAGGCACTGATTGAAAAGAATTTACCAGAACGTACTTGATTTTTAAATTTTTAGAAATTAACTAATAAATAGTTAATTTTGCAAAGTCAACAATATCTGATCTCTGCATAGGTTTATTTTAAAACAAGCAACCTTTTTAATAACCTATAGGGTAAGTTATAGTAAAAGAATCGAAAATGAAATTTTTTGTATATCTTTACATTTCAAAGGTTTCTAAACATTTTGGCATACCTTAGAAAAAATTGATGTGTGTGACAGGACACCCTCTTTTTTGGGGAACTTCCACTTTGACTGCTCATAACTTTGTGAATTTTAATTTTTTTTTTCTAATAAATTTTTGATGTAATGATAAAATATCAATAAACAATTGATAAAAAAATCGATAGTAAAAATATTATTTGTTTCCTTTATACAGCGCTTCAAAAACCGGGCGAAATTCATGACTCTACAGTAGAATACCCCCTTAAGTTCTAATATACTTTAAACAAATATTTTCAACTTTGCAATTCAGTTTATATAATTTGTATAAATATTTGACAATATTACAGTATTTATTTATAATAATCTATTTGAAAATATTTAATATTTCTCGAACATTTCGTTACGGTACGGAAAGTTCCAGCAATTTGCCTTAAAGCACGATGCCATACACACCACTAGTTTTTATATCTCTTTACGTTTCAAAGGTTTCTGAACATTTTAGAATACCTTAGAAAAAATGGATGTATGTGTGTGTGTATGTATGTATGTGTGTGTGCGTGCGGATACAAATTTTCGTCGACGATTTCGCGAACACGGATCAACCGATTTGAATAATTCAAAATACATTCGATTTCTACTGATAAGAAGACCTGCTGATTAGTTTTTGGCAAAGGTAGTAGGTCTAGCCGTTCCGAAGATACGGGACAAAATGTGCCAAAAACGGTAACTCAGTTTTTAATTCACAAAACATTTTACTTGTATTGACAAGAAGAAAAACTGATTAAATTTTTGGAAAGGCACGTCTAGCGGTTTCGGAGATCTAGTGAAAAAAATAAAAAATATGCCATTTGGCGGTCAAAAATGATCATTAGACGTATGCACATCAAATTATCAGATATTTTATGGAGATTTTAACAATAAGTATAAATTTTGTTTACATTCCTATGGGTTTCGTACCAATGTTTATCCGTTAGACGACGACGCGACGCTTACGCGCTTCGATATTTCGTCTCTATGCAGCTAAAGCAGCGCGATTGCTTTGAAAAGAAGTTCAGAATTTCCAAAATATTTTAAAATACACTTTTCTTCAAAAAGTCTTTTTTTTCAAAAAAAGTAAGTTTCTCAAAAATCTAATTTTTTCAGAGTAATTTTTTTTCAAAAATGTTAATCTTTTTTTAAAAAAATAATTTTTGGTACGGGATGTTCCAGCAATTTGCCTTAAGGCGACTATTGAGGGACATTTATATGTGGCATGCTTTGCAGTGGGTAAACTATTCATATATTTTTTGTTAGCTGCTTCTTTCACTTATATACGACATTTGCAATCAGTTGGCTATTCTTATAAGAAACATTTTATACTAGAAATATTTTTTATGACAACGTTTATAATATAAAAATACTAAATTATTAAAATCAAATATATAAAAAATTAATGCAACAAGAAAATAATACATCATAATTAAATTATTGATGCTTGCTGACGTTGACGAAATAAATAAAATCTGCTTTAGTAATGAATGACGGGCTTCAGAAAAATATTTGAAAGACTGCATAAAGCACGCGGGCTGAAGATTGTTCATTCCTGATCTATATTATTCGACGCTTCAATGCGAACTGAGTAATTGTGGGTACAGAGTGTCCCAGAGGGGGCAGTCGAGTGGAAAGGGAAAAATATTGACTTAAAGTATCAATAATAATATTTAAAAGGACGCATAAAGCCCGCGGGCTGCAGGCTGCTCATCCCTGATCTATTTTATTCGACGCTTTAATACGATCTGAGTAATTGTATATACAGAGTGTCTCAGAGGAGGCAGCCGAGTGGAAAGGGTTAAATATTGACTTGAAGTGTTAATAAATTTTACAGTGTTACGAATTACAAAACAATTTAAGACTATGATAAGATACGATTTTGTAAATATTTTTGCCATTTAATGGTTATATATTATCTAAGTAAACTTAAAGCTTATTGTAGGTACTTTTATTAAATTATAAAATTATTAATTATGATTCATGTCGATCAAAATGTTATGCATAATGTTAAGAATTATTTATATTATATATAGACAGACTTAATTTTTGTAATAAAATGTATTGCAAAAAAATACTTCTTTCTATTCACAATTTGATTTTCTAATCAACTAAATGTTTTATACAAATTGATTTCATTCTTAAAATACAAGCGATAAATAAAATTACTTTAACTTACTATCTGAAAAGATAGTTTGTTAGAGTACCTGTCGAGTGATTGCTACATAAGGAATTTAATCAAACTAAATTGCATTATGTATAAATAGAAATCAATCGAGAAAAAGGTAATCTTATTGAAAAACAACATTTACATATGTGAAGAATTTTATTTAAATCTAAATAGCAGTTTCTTTTATATTACTAATTCATTTTTCATTTTTTAGGAATTGAAGGCTATGCTGTACACTGCCATGGAGAGGGCCCCATCAGGAGAAGCAGCAGACCCCGATATGATAATAAGATACTTTACAACATTCGATGAACATTTTTTTCATGTTTGTTACAAAGAATTGGAAAAGATCAATACTTTTTATTCAGGTATATAATGGTTTAAGCTTATTTTGATACTTTTTTAAATATGCACAAGTTTAAAAAAAACAGAGTGCGTGTAAGGTTCACAAGCGATTGAAGTCAAACTTTTTTGCTATTGTACGAATTGGCATTTGAGTTAAAAATAAATACATCATATAACAATTTTGAATAATGTTTATTAGTAATATGGTAACACTCGTGATGCACACATTTATTAGTGTCGACCATTATAAACATTTATATAATAATAAATTATAAATTATATATTTATAATAGCATTAAAAATATTTATAATATTTGAAAACACTAATGTAAATAAAGTCATACTTTAAATATGACATGATCGGTTTGTCATTGTAATTAGCATTTACGACTTGAATCTTCATTAAAGAAATGAAGTAATTGCTGATTAATAAATTCTATAATATTCGTTCATACAGTGGATTATGTTAAACAACGCCTAAAGAAATATTGTTTCCACAATTTCACTCATCATGTAATAACTGTGTTTGAAGAACTTCATGTAATTAAAATTAGCATACATTTATTGACTGCTTGTATTTTTTTTTTTTACTTCTTCCCTGGCGATAAAATCTCATTCTATGAGCAGCTGCTTGAATGTATTTTCCATTTTAATAACTTCAAGAAACTACGAATAACATAGAAATAATTTCTTATCATTAAACTTACGTTTAGTACACGGCACAAATGTTTAATTTGTTTTAATATTTTCAAGGAACAAGGTAAAATATTTTTCTGATTCAGGCATTTTGTATTAAATCAAGTTTGTACTACCATGAAAGTCAAACTTATAGTCAGTTGATTTTGGCCAAATAAATTATTGAAAATAGAATGATTACTAATAGTAGTTTATAAATAATTATATAGCTTATAGTGTTTATGCTAATATTATTATTTTTCTGTAGAAAAACAAGCAGAGGCTACAAGAAAATTTGCAACACTAAGCAGTGAATTACGAGAGACTTTACAAGATGCTCAAGACTTTGCCGGTAATTGTAATTTCACTATCATTTTAATTCACATGATAAATATTACAGTCGATAACAATGATTTAAAACACATAAATAAGTTTAAAAGTTACATATTATATTTTTAATTATAATATCAAGTCTCAATCCTTTTATCAAAATAGTTTTATTATAATGAAACCAGATAAAATTGTTATTTATATTTTGAAGACTTAACTCTAAAGATCATAAACTGTGATGCCTTTTTCCAGAAGTATTTTTCAATACATCTGGGTTTGATTACCATCTCAGCCAGCTTGGTTTCAAGCAGTAGTGATATCGGTAGTGATTATAAATCTTAAAATAGTTTTCGATAAATAATTAAATCTAAATTACTATTCTAGTAATCTAATGTTATAATTGTTAGACAAGCGAGTGTTATAATTTGTTTGTTCCGGGTTTGATTACCATCTCAGTCAGCTTGATATCAAGCAGTAGTAATATCGGTGATATTTTTACTGACTGTAGAGATTATAGATCTTAAAACAGTTTTGCATAAATAATTAAATCTAAATTACTATTTTTGTATGCTAATGTTATAATTGTTAGGCTAGGGAGTGTTATAATTTTTAGTATGCTAATGTTATAATTGTCAGGCTAGGGAGTGTTATAATTTGTTTATTCCGGGTTCGATTACCGATATCAAGCAGTAGTAATATAGGTGATATTTTCACTGACTATAGAGATTATAGATCTTAAAATAGTTTTCCATAAATAATTAAATCTAAATTACTATTATAGTATGCTAATGTTATAATTGTTAGGCTAGGGAGTGTTATAATTTATTTGTTCTGGAGATTACCATCTCAGTAATCTTGATATCAAGCATAGGTGATATTTTCACTGACTATAGAGATTATATATCTTAAAATAGTTTTACATAAATAATTAAATCTAAATTACTATTTTAGTATGCTAATGTTATAATTGCTAGGCTAGGGAGTGTTATAATTTGTTTGTTCCGGGTTCGATTACTATCTCAGTCAGCTTGATATCAAGCAGTAGTGATATCGGTGATATTTTTACTGACTGTAGGGATTATAGATCTTAAAATAGTTTTCCATAAATAATTAAATTTAAATTACTATTTTAGTATGCTTATGTTATAATTGTTAGGCTAGGGAATGTTATAATTTGTTTGTTCCGGGTTCTTAGATCTTAAAATAGTTTTCCATAAATAATTAAATCTAAATTATTATTTTAGTATGCTTATGTTAGGCTAGGGAGTGTTATAATTTGTTCATATTTATTTATTTTTTTATTAATAGGTAAACATGGTTTTTCGACTTCCAAAACAATGTCTTTAAATCCAAGGAAAAGAAAAAATGCTCCAAGAAAGAAGCTGCATGAGTTAAAACTGGCTTTCAGTGAATACTATTTGAGTTTAGTGCTGTTGCAGAATTATCAGAATTTAAATTTTACCGGTTTCAGGAAGATATTGAAAAAACATGACAAGGTAAAGATTGAATAACATATAAGGCGTATAATCAACTCATTCAGACGCCAGTTTTATATATATCTTTATATTTTTTCATCTAAAATTTTACATAATCTCAAAATAGCTGGTCAAGCTACCTCTAAATGTTTTTGGCACTTAATTTCCTATTTGTGCTTTTGTAATTAATTTATTACAATAATTTATATTGATATTAATAACATTATTAACTTTTGTAATAGTTTGTTCATGGTTTATGGTTTATGGTGGTAATTAATCCATTTGTTATGCTTTTCAGTTATTGCAAGTTGACAGAGGTTCAAAATGGCACGAAGAGCATGTCGAAATGGCACATTTCTACCTCAACAAGGTATATTATTAGATAAATAAAATTGAAATAGTAAAATAGTATTCATATAATAGTATTCATAGTACTGCAGTACTATAGATTTTAGAATTTTTATTTAATTAATGATTAAGTTATCCAGATTTTTTTTATCAATTTTAAATTTCTGAAGTGACATCACTTAGTATATACTTTGCAATGTAGAATTGAAAATAGCAACAGTATACTATATTTCTATACTTATATTGTTTTTTGCGACTAACTTTACTACTAATGCTTTATTAACAATTCACATGATTGAATCTTCCAATTATAATTTTTTACTTTGGATTGGGAAAGCATCTAAATCTATAATAACATTCACAATGAGATAGATTATAGTAACTAAAGTAAAATACGAACTCAGCAAAGCACAAAACGTAACTTAAATGTTAATATAACGTAACAGTAGTTACGTTTAACATAGCGGTTACGTGACCTAGAAAACCGAAGGCAGGTCCATGGTATGAGAGCATCACAAAATCAATGAATTTCTAACCCTTCTTTGTTTATTATTCCCATTACCGTTTTATTACCATTGATCACTTTATATTCGTTTTTATGAATTTTTCTTTCTAAACTTGTTCTTCCATGCTTCCTGGTCCTGTGCTTTGCTTTTATTTCCCTTTATTTCCTCTTCTCTTGTAAGTCGTCAACCATCTGCATTCTTCTTCCCAATCTGTTGAGTCCTTCTATTTTTCCTTCGACGACGTCGTGTATCAAGGCACTCTTCTTGTAGAATGAATCCGATCCAGTTTCCTTTTCTTTTCAGGATCGTGCTCAGTAGAGTCCTTTCTTTGCCTACTCTTCTCAGGACTTTTTTATTTGTTAGCTTGTCTATCCACTTTATCTTATCCTTTCCCCTCCAGCACCACATTTCAAAACTCTCCAGATAGTTTTTGTTGGCTTTTCTTAGAGTCCATGTCTCTGATCCATACAGAGCTATGTTCCAGACTAAATAACTATTCATATTTAATTCTACATTCCTTTCATTATTTCTATTACCTTTCAGGATATATCTCGTTTACTACGAGAGACAGAAGCCTGTGTCACCCGCGAATTAGAAGGTGGTGATCGAGGTCGCGCAATGAAACGTCTAAGAGTACCTCCGTTAGGAGGCTCTGGAGGCAGTGGCGGTTCTGGATCTGGAACTGCTGGCTGGACAACTTATCGAGTTGGCTTTTTCACTGGAGCTCTAGCCGTTTTGGCAATGGGAGTCATCATCTCATGTAAGTAGAATAGACATATGCAAATATATTTCCAATTTTTATCAATTTTACTATTTCCAGGTATCTACAACAAAGCGACGAACCTGTACACAACAAAAACAAATCTATCATCATCAAATATCGAACAAAATCTTACTCATACAACAATATATACAAATATAACATCTTTCAACAGCAGTTCAGAAAATACAAGTGAATTTACAACAACTTTAAAAATTACAATTAACCAGGAGGACTCGAACAACCAGCCCAAATGGTGGTTGATACCGATGCGTTTGTATAGAACGCCTTTGCTGTTAATTGAGTTTTGTTTTTTGTGGGCTGCTAATGTTAGAGGTTGGAGAGTCTCGGGGGTCAATAGGGTTTTGGTTTTTGAGCTGGACCCCAGGTGTCATCTGTCGGAGCAGCATGTTACTGAAATTGGAGCTGTTTTTGGAGTTATATGGACTTTGAGGTATAGTAAATAAATAATTATTTTTTTTTTTTGTTTTTTTGACGTTTAAAGTGATTTAGAAACTTATCCTTGATATATTACCACTTATACCAATCATCCCAACTTCTCTCGAATAAAGTATTAATAAAATATTTTCATCCTTTTACATGATATTATGGCGTCTGATTTAATTTTACTGAAATCAAAAGGGTGTTTTATGACAAATGTATGTTTTATGTTTTTTGTGAAGTATTTCGTTTATAAAATGCTAGTTTTCTTGCTTGTTTTTAAAATTATTGATAATTTATATTAAATTATTATTTTTTTCAGTGTATTATGCTTCCTGTACAGCAACCAGCTGGGCATTCCTGCTTTCATTAGCCCGTTAATATTATATTTTCTGATGTTTGGGTTTTTATTAAATCCATTTAAAATTTTGAGGCACGAAGCAAGATTTTGGACTCTGCGAATATTGGTAAAAAATTATAACAAATAAATTCATTTATTAAGAATATTATATTAACCATTTATAACAAATATATTAACCATTCTTCTATTTCCAGGCAAGAGTCTTTCTCTCACCAACCTTTCATGTAAATTTTGCTGATTTCTGGGTTGCTGATCAAATTAACAGTTTGCTGCCACTTTTTGTAGACTTTCAATATTTTTTGTGCTATTATATGAATTTGAAAAGCTGGTATGAACCAAACGGTAAGAAAAATCAGTTTTAATCGGCCTATTTTTGGATAAGTTAGCTATGTTATGTTACTGGTCTCTTGTGGTAACTTAAAATGCTTGAAATAAGTGTACATTGATTGTATATTCTTGGTGCATCTGCTTTATTTTGATAAATCTTGTTTTTTTATGCTGGGACTTGTAGTCTAAAAACCAAAACAGCTATACCTATGATGTTTATTCGAGTGTTTGTTTAAATTTTTGATACTAACCTAAAGCTGGAAACTAACTTCCAAATAGCACAAATGTAAAGATTACATTGGATCCACTTTATATTATAGATAAATAAACCTAACAGTCTATATATAAATGACTAACAATCATGTTGCATTATCTCCATGCTGTCTAATAAATTAAAACATCTCTCTCTCTCTCTCTCGCTTTTGGTCTACCCTTTTCTCTCTCTTCTGCCTTATCTTTCTATCTCTATCCCTAACTCTCTCATACTCCCTTTATATCCAAATATCTCCATTTCTTTCTCTCCCTTTTTATCTATCTCTTTTTCTCTCTTCTGCTCTATATCCTTATCTCTACCCCTAATAAAGCCCTATAATGTCACCAAGTATTGTTCTCTTCTGCCTTATCCCTCTATCTCTATCCCTAACTCTCTACATATCTTTCTCATACTCTCTTTACTTCCAAATATTCCTATCTCTTTCTTTCCCTTTTTATCTATTCCTTTCTCTGTCTTCTGCTTTATCTCCTTATCTCTATCCCTTATAAAGTCAACAAGTATTGCTATTACAATTAATACTATTCGAAAATAGACCCATAACTCAACTAAATGTACTGTATAATTACAAATTTATTTTTTATCCCAGATCCTGGTGTGTGTGTCAATGATTCGATCCCAATAAGAGCAGTAATGGCAGCTCTACCAGCCTGGTTCAGGTTTGCACAATGTTGCAGAAGATATCGAGACACCCGAGAAGCTAATCCACATTTGGCAAATGCTGTAAAATACTCAACTTCATTCTTTGTTGTGGGATTTGCTACACTTAGTGCTTGTCATGCAGGTAAATAGAAAAAAAAAATAGTGCGTACAAGAGAAGTGAAACTTCTTAATGTAGAAATAGGAAGAGCTGAAAATTGATTTTTTTTTTGGATTATATATTTATTATATTGCTTGTGTAGTACAGTACTTGTGATGGATTTGAAACTTGTTTGTTATTAAAAAAATGTGTGTAATATGAATGAGCAAGAAGGTTATATAGAAAGTGGTGGGAGGGAATAGATAGAGAAGGGAGGGATACAGAAAAAGACGGGATACAGAGTTAGAGATAGATAAATAGGAAAAAAAGATATATTCAGTGTAAAAAAAAGGTAGAGAGTACGACATAGATACGAGTGTAGACAGTTAGGGATAGAGATAAGGAGATAGAGCAGAAGAGAGAGAAAGAGATAGAGATATTTAAATAGACAGATAATGAGAAAAAAGTGGAAAATAGATAGATAAAAAAAGAGAGAGAAAGAGATAGATACTTTGTTAGAAAGAGAATAAGAAAAAAGTATTAGATAGCTAGATATTTTAATTAAAAAAAAATATTCTGTTTGATCTTTAGGAAAGATATAATAAGATAGAGTAAAAAGGGAAAAAGTATAGTGTAAAAGAAAGGTAGAAGGTACAAGAGAGATATGTAGACAGTTAGGGATGGAGATAAAGAGATAGAGCAAAAAAGGGAAAGAAAGTGATAGATATATTTTGATAACAAGAGAAAGAAAAAAAAGAGGTAGACAGATAGATAGTTTAAGAAAAAGATGACGAGATATTCAGTTTGACCCTTAGGAAAAACTTGATAAGATAGAACAAAAATGCAGAAAGAGATCTTTTTAGCGAAAAAGAAAGAGAGTACGATAGTGATATGTTGAGAGTTAGGGATAGAGTTAAAGTGATAGAGCAGAAGAGAGAGAGAGAAAGAGATAGATAAAAAATGGAGAGAAAGAGATATATAAAAAAGAGAGAGAAAGAGATAGAGATATTTAAATAGACTGATAATGAGAAAAAAGTGGAAAATAGATAGATAAAAAAAGAGAGAGAAAGAGATAGATACTTTGTTAGAAAGAGAATAAGAAGATAGACAGACGAAAACGAAAAAATGTGATAAATAGCTAGATAGTTTAAAAAAATAATAATGAGAGATTTAGTTTGATTTTAGAAAAAGATAAATATGAATTTTAGAAATGAATAGGAAGACAGTGAGGTGAGGAAAAGAGGAAAGTAGATAGGTTCAGAGATAGGGATTTATATAAGATGAGGGAGAGAGCGAGAGGGGGAGAGATAAAGATTGAGAAAAAGGAGAAAAATGAGGTAGATAGATAAGTAGATATAAAAATTATGATAGTCCGAAAGTAAATTGACAAATAAATACAAATATATATTCAATGTTATATTTTTTGTTTATAGAAACAAATCCGGACAAGTCAACGAATCCATGGTTCTATTTGTGGATTATTTCATCAATAATTTCATCAAGTTACACATACTGGTGGGATATTAAATTGGATTGGGGACTTTTTGATTCGAAAGCAGGTGAACATAAATTTTTGAGGGAAGAAATTGTGTATCCGTACACGGTAAGTTATAAGTAAATTGCATTCACAATTAAACAATTAAAATGGATGTATATATACTTATTGAATTGTTTTATTTCAGTGGACATATTATTTTGGCATTATAGAAGATTTGGTTTTACGATTTGCTTGGGTAGTCACTTTGAGTTTGACTGAAAGTGGCATTGTGACTCCAGAAGTCATGTTGACTCTCATCACACCATGGGAAGTCTTTCGGTAAAGAAAATTATACTTATTTTATCTGTCAAATGGGATTAGCAATATCACATGAGTGGAAAAAAATCTATTTTTTTTTCTTCCTAGTCGGTTTGTCTGGAACTATTTCCGTTTAGAAAACGAGCATTTAAACAACTGCGGCAAGTTCAGAGCCGTCCGAGACATCTCATTAGCACCTCTTGACACCAGTGATCAATTGGCCATCTTACGAATGATGGATCACCCGGATGGTGCCATTATAAACAGACACCATGGTCTGCAGCATGCCTGGAAGAAGACAAACAGTCTTCTGCACCATTATCATAGTAACCACCATAATGTAGGTGGAAGTTTCCATCAGGGGAATAATGGAAGTGCTCATAGGAGAGTTATGAGCATTATGACAAATGCCAGGCCTCAGATTAGGATTTTGTTGAGAGGTGAAAGATACCGAGTGAAAATATTTTTATTGCTTCACATCAAATTATCACTTACATCCTAGTTTTTTGTTTATTTTTGTTTTGTCACCACTTATACCAACTATTTCTTTACCAAATTATCTTTTTTAGGTGATTCTGCGAATGACAATGTGGGAAGTAGGTGATTAAGGAAGAAGCTGGCCGAAGATGAAGTTTAGTACACCGGATGAACTGGAAAGCGAAGTGGAACTTCATTTTGGCCAGGTAACTTTTGGGGCAGGTGGTGGTGGTGTTGGTGTTAAGAAAAGGTAACATACTATCACGACAGAAATAGAACTATATTTTTTTAATTAATTCTGGACAAAAAAAAGTAAAATTTTGCGCGCGGAAAGTGAAACTTTGTGGAAATAATCTGGAAAAGTGTAGAAATTGTTTTTTCAACTCATTATTAGTTATCAGTTAACTCATTAAAAACAATAAAGATTAGAAAAAAGTGCTTGAGTAGCATAGTATACTTGATGGAAGTGAAACTTTTTGAAAAATACGAATTTTTTTTGTGTGATAGAGAGGGAAAGATTTAGACAAAGAGAAAGCAAAAATGAGAAAGAAAGCAATAAAGATCAGTAAAGATGAATAAAGACAGTGATAGAAATAGGTAAAAAGAGAGAGAAAGAAAGAAATAAGATATTCAGTGTGAAAGAGAGAGTGAGTGGAAGTTTGTAAATTGCAAAACCAAAAAACCAAAGCAAAGTAAAGAATTTGAAAAATATAATTTTTTTTAACATTATCTTATTTGAGATGAAAAGTATGATAATCAAATCATAAAATTTTTTAAATATAATGAAATATTTCTGCTAATTTAATGAAGCTGACATTAAGAGCATCGACTCACTCTCTTTCTCTCTCTCACCTGCCAGTTTTGTGTATCTTTCTTTCACTCGCACATGCATTCTTGTCTCTTTCTATTTGTTCTGTCTCTTTCTATTTGCTCTGTCTCTTTCTATTTGCCTTGTCTCTTTCTATTTCAATAAACTTCAGTTATTTCAGTCGTGATAGTACGTTTTCCAATTTTTTCGATTTATTCGAATTAATATTTCAATTATAAAACACACTGATGAAAGTACAATAAATGCATTTATGTGATTCTCGATTCGAGAACTATTGGAAGTGATTATAAAAAATTATAATTCTATTAATTATGCTTTTCTTCATTTGAAAAGTTAATAATTATTTTAATCGATATTTAATAGTTATTGATAGATATATTGATAAGTACTTGTCAGGTTTATTGTTAAATTAAAAATGTAGTTGATAGAAGTCGATTCAGGTGAGAATAAATGCTGCTTGTAGTTTGGAACTGAATTTGTTCGTATACAAATTCAAACAATTTTAAATTAAAATTTTGAAAGTTTTTTTTGATGTTGAAACATTTTTATCTTCATATATCGAATTTAATGAAAATAAAGTAAAACACCGTTAAGACGATTTTCTAGCACGCCAAAAACGGGTCTTAGGAACAATGTATTTAAAAAAGCAGTGAAGTAGCGTATTATATGAGAAATTGGTTTAAGTATGATCGTATTAATGGAGTTTTACAATATATACAATTATATGTTTTGATTTATATTATTTTAATTTGACAGATTGGTTGCTATACCAAATATAAATTTATTTAATTACATTTTTTTACTAGGAAATTTTATTTATCATTGAAACGATTTGCATATAAGTGATTGATATATGAGTAAGATAATAATTTAAGGTTTCCATTTGTTAATATATATTAAAGCGTTTAAATAATTACACCTGTACATCACTTTGCGTCGTTTAATATTGCGTTTTTTCCGGACTTATGTTGCTACTCAGTTGGTACGAATCTGGACTTTTTTTTGGGTTCGAGTCTTTGCTAAAGAAAACGTTAATTCACTTTACATCATTTTGTTTTGAGTTTTGTTTAAACTTGCGTCGCTGCTTAGTTGATAATAATTTTGAATTTCAGTTTTGTTTTGGGTTTGAGTCTTTGCTAAAGAAAACCTTAGTTCACTTCGCATCATTTTATTTCCTTTTTTTCGGATTAGGGTTGTTACTTAATTGGTACTAATTTGGACTTTCTTTTTAGGTTCGAATCTTTACTAAAAAATAATAATTCATTTTGTATCATTTTGTTTTGCCTTTTTTCCAAACTTTTACCCTTAAGTTTATTTAATTCGACATATATAAAGAAGATAAACCTTATCGCTGCTTAGTTGATATTTTTTTTATTTTCACACTTTCACTTTCACTTAGTTCTTATATTCCATCATTTTTATTTGCTTCAGCATATCATAGAGGTCGCCACCAACAGTAGCATGTAAATTTACCCTTAGGTTTAATTCTAGATAAGATTTATTTAAATATATTATATACTAGCTGACCCGGCAAACGTTGTTTTGCTAAATAATGTATATTCTAAACCATTTCTAAAGAATCAAAAATATTAATACTTTAAGTGTATAAGGATGTGTTTCAATGCTCCTTATAATGAAATATTATAAAAACAATAAACTCCATTAATTTGTCTATATTTTGTCAATACAATCAAACTGCAAGTTTTATACACTTTCTATAGAAAACATCGTATAATCCAATCCGAGTCTTTTTTGGTCTTTCGGCTTATTAATTACGTTTTAAGTTTTTCAGATTCTTTTTGGATTCTTGATTTTGTGTATAATTGTAAATAATACTACTGAGCTTATACAAAATTTTCAAATTTTTGCGAGGAGAGATAAAAAATAAATTAAGTATTTCTTCTTTGACCTGCTTTTTGAAAAGTTTCAAGTTACATTTGATGAATTAAAGTAAATTTAATAAAAAGTATATATGTAGAGCAGGGCGAGACACAAAGGTCCAATTTGACTTTGAGCAAATATAAACTATATTGTGAAAACCATAACAATTATATCACAACAAATAAGACATATCAAACGAACAATTATCTGACTACGTTCAGTAAACTGACTTCTACTTCATCATTGTAGAAATGTGCTTTTTTGATGTCTTTCAAAAATTTGTTATCTAGACCTTCTACCCTATAGGCGGGGTAACTTGAAACGGGCAAGTGGCAAAAAGATTTAAAGCCTTATTATAGTTTTGAAGGTATTTTACAAAATAATTACATTTTTAACTAATGCTTAAAAACTACCAACGGAAGAAAATACTTTTATTATGGATTCTCAAAGATTACCGTTTATCTCCCCCATTTCAAAGATTACTGTTTTCAAATCAAGGTTGTAGCTGACTATACATCTTTTTTCCTCTACTTTTGTTAAACAATGCTTAACTTTACTGATTTTTGACACATCGGTGGTGGACCTTTTTAAACCCCAGACCTTCATATATTACTATCTATTCTGCGATAAATTCTGGGAAATTATAACTGGAAAAATGTTATTCGGCAAAATGTCCATTTGATCGATACCAAATTTAGGTTCTGAATTTAAATAAGATAAATAAAAAATAATATAACCTAGAAAATGTTTTATAAATGCCAATGAGTATATAATTATACAAATGAGATCTTTCAGAGCACCGTGTTTGAGAAAAACATGCCAAAAAGTGCATTTTCATATTAACATATCAAAAAAGTTTATATTTTGAGTCTCTAGTAACACTTGCGGCACGTTTACTAACGTATTTGTATATAAATAAAACTACAAACAAAACTACTTACTACAAATTTATCATAAATAGATAATATTCGCGTAAAACATCCTATTAAACGTAATTGAACATCATCTGTCAAAAGCGTTTGACATTTCACGAAATTGCCACCGTCCGTTGTTTTATTTAAATTACGCTGCTACAAAAATTTTCAAATTAAAAATGTAAAGTTTCTACGCGGATTTGAAATAATTTCTCACCTTTTGGACATTCTCTGGATTGGCACGAATTTTTCAAGACTAAGACTGGCCAAATCGATTCAGCCGTTTTCGAGTTTTATTCGGACATTTGAAAGAGAGCTCCATTTTTATATATAAGATAAAAGATAAACCATGCATGTCACTGCTTAGTTGATAATAATTTTGACTTTCACTATCGTTTTGGGTTCGGGTCTTTGCTAAAGAAAATATTAATTCATTTTGCGTGATTTCGTTCTGCTTTTTTCCAAACTTTTGTTGCTACCATAGATATACAAATATAAGTAGATTGCAAACACGGCCGTTCTGATATCACCTCAATTTTATTTGCTCCAGCATATCATAGAGGTCGCCACCAACTGTAGCACGTAAATTTACCCTTACGTTTAATTCTAGATAATTCAAAATTTATTTAAATATATTATATATAGAAGATAAACCATGCAAGTCACTGCTTAGTTGATGATAATTTTGACTTTCAGTTTTGTTTTGTGTTCGAGTCTTTGCTAAAGAAATCCTTAATTTACTTTGCATTTACGATGCAATGTGAGGTATTGGTATTTTCCTTAACATCTTACGGGTTACAATCATATCGTACAGATGAAGTTATAACAAAAACCTCAAACCGATGAAAATTAAATATGTAATTTAGCATAAATTATTATTATTAATTTATTCATAGATTTTTTTTATAAATATTTAGTAGTCGATAGCTTAATATAGTTTTATTAGAGCTGTTAGTAGAGATATATAAATATATAATTAATTTATTGTAAATAAACAAATCAAAGTCAATATTTAAACAAATCAAATAAAGTCAAGTTTATCGGCACAATAAATTTAGGAATTAGAGCTATTTTTAAAATGTGCAATATTTATATTTATACATTAGGGGTGGGTAAAAATGTTTGGCCATTGGTGCACATTGTAATTTTAGTTCTATTTATCATACCAAGAAACTTTGCTGAAGAAACCATAGCTTGGAAGTGAATTACACAAAGCAAAATTAAAGTTTTAATTTTTAATATT